GAGCTGAGCCGCCGGCCTCTCCGCAGAACTCCCAGAGCTTCACGTTCGACGACGCCCAGCAGGCGGATAGGAAGGTGGGTGCCGGCGGGAGCGGGCGGGCGGCCGGCCCGGGCGGCCCGGTGCAGCCACTCTTCTCCCTGCTCGCAGAGGCTGGCGGAGCTGCTGGTGGCGGTCCTGGAGCGGGGGCTGCCCCGCGCCTGCCGAGTCACCTGGCTCCAGAGCGTCCGCATCCTGTCCAGGGACCGAGGCTGCCTGGACCGCTTCACCAGCCGCAGGAGCCTGCAGGCACTTGCCCGCTACGCCGGCATCTCCGCGCCCGAGGCCCCGGGCCTCGAGACCCCGGACATGGACGCGGTGCTGGAGTCCCTCAAGTGCCTGTGCAACCTCGTGCTCAGTAGCCCCGCGGCGCAGGTGCTGGCGGCAGAGGCGCGCCTGGTGGTGCGGCTGGCCGAGCGCGTGGGGCAGTACGGCCAGGGCGGCCTCCCACACGAAGTCCAGTTCTTCGACTTGCGCCTGCTCTTCCTGCTCACCGCGTTGCGCACCGACGTGCGCCAGCAGCTCTTCCAGGAGCTGCAGGGAGTGCACCTGCTGACCAACGCTCTGGAACTGACCCTGGGAGTGGGCCCCAAAGAGAGCCCCCCTGAGCTCCTTCCTCCTCAGGAGACCGAGCGGGCCATGGAGATCCTCAAGGTGCTCTTCAACATTACCTTTGACTCCGTCAAGAGAGAGGTGGATGAGGTGAGGGCCGGCCACCTGAGGTAGGCGGGCGTGGAGCGAGGGGCAGTTCCTGGCCCTGCCCCCCAGGGCTGCTCCAGTCTCCTCACCAAGGGGCAGGGGCCTCTGCAGGGTTGCTGAGGGCCAGGAGGGCTCTCCTGTCCGGTTGAAGGTGGGGAGATTGTATGCAGCGCTCCACGTTGAGGCTGCGGTGGGCATAGTGTGCCTTCACCCCAGGGTCCTCAGAGGTGGGAGGGATGGGCGGGTAGAGCCTTGTTCCTGGAGGGGCAGCTACAGAGCCTCAGGGGGCAGCCATGGGCTTCTCACCGGATCCTTCCTCCCTGGTCAGGAAGACGCTGCCCTTTACCGGCACCTGGGGACCCTGCTGCGGCACTGTGTGATGGTGGCGGCCGCTGGAGACCGCACAGAGGAGCTGCGCGGGTGAGGGTGGGCTGTGGCTCAGGGTACACAAGGCGCCACATGGGGCTGCCGGGGCTGCGGACTTGCCCCCGCCCGAGTCCCTAGTGTTTGTTAGGGAGCACTAGTTACCTCTGATACCTGTCGGACAAGAAGGTGCCCTGGGGGCTTGGGAAGTGGCGGTGGACGGTGTGATGTCAGGTAATGTGGACACTCACCCCATCCTTAGGGTCTCGAGCCTGAGTCCTGCTCCCCAAGAGGGTGTGGGGGGTGCGTGCAGAGCATGCAGCCAGGGACCCGCCCCCGGATCACACCCTCAGCCCCGACCCCTGGTTGCTCTCCAGCCCACAGGCACGTGCTCACGTGTGTGGCCCACAGGGGCCACCGACCGCAGGTGTGCGGGAAGCGGGCACTCACCGACCCCTCCCCTCTGCCCCCAGCCACACGGTGAACCTCCTGGGCAACTTGCCCCTCAAGTGTCTGGACGTCCTCCTCGCTCTGGAGCCGCACGAAGGCTCCCTGGAGTTCCTGGGCGTGAACATGGATGTGATTCAGGTCCTCCTTGACTTCCTGGAAAAGCGTCTGCACCAGGTAAGTCCCGGTTCCCGTGTGGGCTCCTGAGGCGGCCTGTAGGCCCCCTGCCCACCAGGTGGGAGTCTCGCCTTGGCGCATCCCTGCGCGCAAGCAGGTCTGCAGGCAGCACAGCACTGTTCTCCAGGCCTCTGTGCCCCCGAAAGGCTCCGGCCCCTGGGTGGACCGTAGGGCCTCGCTGCACAGGCGACCTCAGGGATGACATCCGTGTCTCCATCCCTGAGGGGACGAGACCGCCAGAAGCTTCCTGGTCCCCAGGTTGCACCACAGGGCGGCCCCCAAGGGTTGCCCTGTGGTGCATGGTGCGACCTTGGGGGCCCACGTGGCCCACACGCACCAGCTGGCCGCAGGCCTGGCATCACGCCATAGGCAACAGGGGCGCGGGAGGACGGGGGAGGTACTGGACCCCTCGAGGACTGGCCAGGTTGGGACCTGGCCCCGGCTGGTCGCCGCACTCAGGCGCACTCAGAGCGGCCGTGTAGTGTGTCTGTCGCAGGCGCAGCATGGCCTCCGTAGGCAGGGCCCACCCCGTCGCTCTGGAGGCTCACACAGGCGCCTTTGAGCTGGCCCACGGCCAGGTTCTGCTGGTCTGTGCCACCTGCCGGAGGCCAGCGCCGGTGACACAGGCCCCTCTGCAGACGCACAGGCTGAAGGAGAGCGTGGCCCCTGTGCTGAGCGTGCTGACGGAGTGCGCCCGCCTGCACCGCCCCGCCAGGAAGTTCCTGAAGGCCCAGGTAGTGGGGAGGGCGGGGCCGGGCTGCACCCCAGACCCTGCACCTGGGCCTGGCTGAGAGAGGGCGCCCCCCCAGGTGCTGCCCCCACTGCGAGACGTGAGGACCCGGCCCGAGGTCGGGGAGCTGCTGCGCAACAAGCTCGTCCGCCTCATGACACACCTAGACACCGACGTGAAGCGGGTGGCCGCCGAGTTCCTGTTTGTCCTGTGCTCCGAGAGCGGTGAGTAGGCGCCGGCCCCAGGCTGGCCTGGGCAGCCATCGTCACACACTGACCGCTGCCTGCCCCTCAGTGCCCCGCTTCATCAAGTACACGGGCTACGGAAACGCCGCCGGCCTCCTGGCAGCCCGGGGCCTCATGGCAGGGGGCCGGCCCGAGGGCCAGTACTCGGAGGACGAGGACACGGACACAGAGGAGTACAAGGAGGCCAAGGCCAGGTGGGTGCCTCAGGCCTTCGCCCGACGCAGACGGTGCACCCGTGTGGGGGGTGGGTGGCGCGCACACGGGGGGGTGGCGGGGCTGCCCGGACAGGAGCTGCAGCTGCCCCTGGGGGGAGGCTTCACCGTCCCTGCGCCCCCAACATGGCTTCCAGCCAGCTGAGGTCCCAGCAGGGCCCAGGGGCTCACCCGTCCTGGGAAGTCCCTCACACGTTCCCACCGCTCCCCGCCAGCAGCATAGACCCAGTGACGGGGAGGGTGGAGGAGAAGCCTCCCAACCCCATGGAAGGCATGACGGAGGAGCAGAAGGAGTGCGAGGCCATGAAGCTGGTGGACATGTTTGACAGGCTGTCCAGGTGCGTGGCCGCTGGCCCCGTCCTGTCTGACCCCAGGAGCGGGGCTGCTGGGGTCAGGGTTCTGACGAAGCCGGCCTGCAGCACCCCTGCCTCCAAGGGGCGGGGGTGGGGGTGCTGGTCAGCATCACACCCCGTGCGGGGGACAGAAAGTGAGGCCTGGACAAGTAGCCAAGTGGCTTGAGGTCTCAAGCTGTGGGTAGTGGCTGTGGCTCAGGCCTGGTCAACACGGGACCCCAGGTAAGAGCCACAGGTGGGCAGCCGTGGGCGGGAACCCTGCCGGGCCCCTCAGAGCCCCCATTCTTTCCCTGCAGGCACAGAGTCATCCAGCCCATGGGGATGAGCCCCCGGGGCCAGCTCACATCCTTGCAGGACGCCATGTGTGAGCGCATGGAAGGGCAGCTCTCCTCGGACCCCGACTCCGACCCCGACTGAAGAGGGCCGCTCTGCTGCGCCCCTCCAGAACCGGTGCTGCTTGTGGGGGTGTCCTTGGGTCTCTCCCCAGGGGGCCACACCCTCTCCAGCTTGGAGACCCCTTCCTCCCAGTTCTGTTAATGACTTGTCTCTGGCCCAGTTTCTGATCGCTAGGCCTGGAGGGCCGCATCCTGCCAAAGCTCAGCCTTGGCGTCTGCCAGGGAGCGGATGCTGCCCAGAGGGACCAGGCAGGCCTGTGGGGGGCGGGGCACGGGGCCTGTGGGGCTGCCTGTGATGTCAGAAGCCCACTCCCACGTTTGCTCTCCAGCCGTCCCCTGCACGCGCTGGCCGGCTGCCCCTTCTGCACGCTCATCCTGGCTTAGCCGCTGGCCACGGCATCCACGGCCGCGGGGCTCCTGCCACCAGGTGGGACTGTTGAACCTGTCTTCACGCTGGCTTAGACCACCGACATCTCAATGAAAACTCCCGTGAACCCACACGCCTGACTCATGTCACAGAAACACCGCTGGAATAAAGTCTTGAGTGAGAGTGTGAGCCCAGTGTCTGCCGCCGGGGCGCGCACAAGCGAGGGAGGCTTCCTGCTGGGCCCGTGTCACCCTTGGCGCCAGGCTCTCCAGTCCCGCTCAGCTAAGTCTGCTGGGCGCCAGCCAGGCAGATGGAAGGGCACAGGGCTGAGGCGGGGGCCCCCGGAGACCCACAGCCTGGTGGAAGGGGGAGGAGACGGTCGCTTCCCACCGGGACACGGTGGCCTCCAGCGAGCATGTGGGGTCCCTGGGGCTCAGGGCACCCCAGCAGGGCCCACTGAGCACCCTTTGGGTAGGTCCCTGCACCTCGAGGACACAAGTAAAGGATCCCCGCTTCTCATATCAAAGTTTATTTTGTGCCAGAAATGAAGGTAAGTTTCTCTAAAAGAAACCCCGCTGAGGAGACCGACGTGGCGCTGCTGAACCCAGGGACAGCCCTGCGCGGGCAGGTGGCTGCCCGGGCCTCCACTCGCCCGGTTCCGGGCGCCGCTGTGCCCGAAGCTGCTGGGCTGGGCTGCGGAGGTGCGCGGGCGCCCGCCGAGGAGCGCGAGGCCTCCAGGAGGGTGGCGCGGGGCTCAGGCCGGGCGCCGCAGCTCTGCTCCGGGCTGCTGGCCGCAGCTGGCCAAGTGCTGCCGAGCTGCGTCCTCCAGACCGAGGTCTCCGCGTGGGCTGCTCCCGTCGCCCTATCTGTCCGCTCCGCCCAGCTGAAACAGGAGAAAAAGGGTCTCTAGGGCTGGCCTGGCCACATGGGTCCATAAAGTGGACGCCCTTCCGCCTCACCTGTGCGGCCGCCGAGCCCAGTGTTCCGCAGGGGTGGCGTGGGGACGCCCACAAGCTCGGGCAGCTCAAGCCAGTGTTGCAAATCGCCCCCCCCCCCCGCCCCGAGATTCAAGATGCAGCCTGAGAGCCTTGTGCTTTACATTAGAAATGCCGATTTTGTGGGCTTCCCTGGGGTGGGTCTTGGCGCTACGCAGCCCGAGTACAATTCCCGGCCAGCAAGTGACCCAGGAAGCACGGCAGGCCCCCCCCCGCCCCCCGCTGTCCCCTCAGCAGTGGGTTTCAGTGACTCGGTTGGTTCTTCCACCCACTCTGGTGAGTTCTCGCACCCCCTGTACCTCTGGCCTGTACTCCGGTATTTGTGTGCATAAATCTATAAAAAAATGCTGGTGTCAGGACCCAAAGGTCCAGTCTCAGGACACAACTTTCACAGCTCCAGGCCACGTGGCTCAGTGCCGTTGCTGCTGGGAGCGGCCTCACGCAGAGGGGCCACGAATCCCGATGCCAGACCCAGCCGCGCAGAGCCCAGGCTGGCTGCACAGGCGTGACCACCCACACCTGAGACCTGCCGCCGCGCGGGCGCCTGACCTGTGGCAAGCCAGTGTGAGGATGGAGCAGGAGGCCCTGCTGGCGGGCTGTACCTTCCCAGTCTCCCGCTGGACGAGGTCCTGCAGCTCTGCGGTCCACCCCAGAAGCTCCACCAGCCTTTCCACGCCCTGGACCACGTCCCCCAGCTGTACCACGTCTCGGCTGCGAGGACTCCAGGCCAAGGGCCCCACCAAGTCCCGGTTGATAAGCAGCCGGGGCACTGAGCTCCGCACGGCTTCAGACAAGCTAGCAAAAGGCTCCACCTGAAAAACCACGCGGTGAGCAGCTTGGGCACCTCACGCCACAGCCTGAGAGACCGCACAGGCCAGCAGGGTGCCCTGGGGTCAGAGGACACCCACCACCCCTTTCATTTCTTCCCAAGACCCCCCTGCCACTTGCTACCGATGGCCTCGTGCCCCGCCCCGGGCCCCTCTCACCAGGCCTGCATCATGCTCCCCACACTTCCCAGGGGGCGGTGAAGCCTGACGCCCAGCTACAAGCACTCGCCTGCCCTCCGTCAGCCACCTCATCGCCCACCCCCTCCTGGAGCAAGTCCTGGCCTGTGCCGAGGGCACAAGGGCACGCCGCCTCACCACATGCCACCTGACAGACCTCCAGAACCCTGGGCTTCATCCAACAGGCCAATGAAATTTCTCTCAAGAGCAACGCAAAAACTGGGCTGATGAGCAAGTGGCACTGAGCCACACTGATTTCAATTCCTGCCTTTCCTTGAAAAAATACCAGGAGGTAAAGATAAAACAGGAGTTCTTGGGAAGCCATCCTCCCCACACAGCGGGCCAGGTCCGCGGTAGGGTCTGGCAGGGGGGCCCGGGAGGCCGCCCCAGCTTAGGAGCAGAGAAACAGCTGAGGGCGAGAGGGCACAGAGACGGAGCCAGCGAGGGCTGGCCTTCAGCACTCAGCGTCCCGGAGCTCTGCTGTGCTTACTTGCGACCAAGCCGCTAAAGCTGGGGTGTCTGGTGTGGGCAGGACGTGCGGACAGGCCTCCCCGAGGGTGCCGGAGGCCCCGCCGCCACGGCGCGCCACGGCCACGGCCCTCCGGGCGGCAGCGCACATCCTCCGCTGTCTGACGAGACGGCACCACGCCCGTCCGGGGGCCTCCAGAAGGAAACTGCCAGACCCGTGACCCCTCTCCCGGCACTATCCAAGCGGGCTGGGTCCCAGCACAGTGACGGTTCCAGGCTCCAGAGCAGCACATGTCCCCGTGGAAAGCCCGGCCCCCACTCCCCTCCCAGGACTCCCACATGGCCGAGGCTGTGGCTCAGCTCACGCGCTGGGCCGCCAGGCAACCCAGGCACCGGCCAGCCAGAGCGTGAGGTCTGGGTCTCCCACACAGCCCCCTCCAGGCCTCCTCCCTCCACCGGGGCAGGCGGGCCGGGCTGGGGGCGCCGAGCACACCCCGCTGGCCCGCGGCTCTCCAAGCCAGCCCCCCCGCACCTGCAGCGCCACCTCTCCCCTCCACGGTCTCTGCGGGCGGCCAGCCCTGGCCCTGCTCGATCCCCGGGGTCACGTCTCTGCACCAAAGGGGGGCTGACTGGCTTGCTCCCTACCTCGCCCTCACACACTGTACCCACCCCCGCCCCACCTCAAACACAGACCAAGCGGCCCCTTACCTGCCCGTCCTGCCGAAGCTGCCCCTCAGGCCTGGGGCCACAAGCTGAACCCACTCATGTCAGACTGGGAGCCCCCCATGCCCCGTGGCACCTGCCCGTCCCTGGCAGGCGCCTCTGCCCCCAGCCTGCACGACGGTCCGCAGACGCACCTCCAGGGAGGTCCCAAGGATGAGCAGCAGGTCTGCCATGGGGAAGTCCACCACGTGCAGCAGGAACCTCTGGGGGAGCGGCTCCCCAAAGAACACAATGTCAGGCTTCACGATGCCAGTGCAGACCGGGCAGCGGGGGACTGTGTCCGCCAACACGTCTGCCTGGCGAGACACACAGCAAACAGACCCAACGCTTTAAAATAAAGACAGCTTCATGTCGCTATTGTCCTTTTATTTTTCCAGCACTTGTCAGATTCCACCTTTCGAGGTCACTCCCCGAGAGGGCAGACACAACTCACCCAAAAGCTCTCCCCTGGGGAGGGTCTTCGGCAGACAGTGCAGGTGGCAGAGGCAAAGGATCCATGAGCTTCCACCAGCTTGGAGGCCGGGATGCCAGAGACTAAAAGCAAGCCCAGAGCACAGCTCCGCCCCACAGCCCGGAGTACTGGGACCCCACCCAGGGAGGACGCCCCCCGCCGGAAGGGGCACAGGCGAGTAGAATCATTGAAAGTACATCAGAGGGCCTTCCTGGGGGCCCAGGGTCAGTCTCAGGCAATCACCACTGGCCAGTCCAAGGCCCAGCCAGGGAGGGACCCACAGGGTGCTGCAGACCCCTCCTGGCCCCCCACAGCTCCCCTCTGCTGTCTCGGCGTCTCCGCCTGTTCTGCTCCCCAATCTGTCTCCGGTCAGGTCTCATCCCCACCACAGTTCCTCTACACATAAATAAAATCTTCCAAAATCAGACAGATGATCAAAACAGCACAAAAAAATTAGACATTAGTGTAGAAACCACTATCCACCCTCTGGGAAAACATGTTCCAGCCCACCGACAAGTAGTAATGAAAACCCAACCGCCACGCGGTGACACCCAGACAGAACCAGCGGGGCTGGGACCAGGAAGCCCGGCGGTTACTGCCCGCTGCGGACGCCGCCGCCCAGGCCGGGACCCGCAGGCTGGACACCGTAAGCGACCCTGACACTCAGAGGGCACTTCTGTCCCGAACAAGGGCAGTCACCAAAGGGGACGGAGCATGGGGACTGAGAGGGGCGGTGCAGGGGACAGGGGGGAGGGGC